AAATTCCTTAGTCAACAGAGTTTTGCATTCATTTTATAAAAGAATGGTTTCCTTCTAGTAATACAAACAAAAAAAACCCGCTTATTTTGTGACCTTTTCAAAGATGCTAAGGTCAATATTTTTATCATTTCAGAAAAACAAACAAATAACCAGTTTTCTTAGACAAAAGATAACCTTAAGCATTTATTGCTATCATCTGAGGTGGTTTAGAAGACAATCAAATTGAAAAATCAGATAAAGAAATATCCAGGGTGATTTTTTAGGTTGTCACATATCAATTCTGAAATATATCATAAGTACATTGCCATTTTATATGACCATATACAATGAATCACATTTATTTATGCATATGGTCAGATTTTTAGTGTTCAAATAATGGAAGAGAAGAAAAAGTATTAGATTTAGTGCTATGCTTTGTTAAAGATATGAATCAGCTTTAAATTTAAACCTTTATTTTATCTCATAAGCAATATTCTCCAGCCAGAACAAATGGTTTTTACAATTCTGTCACTTTTTTAAAAATGATCATCCAATCAGTGATAGCTTACAAGGTGTTGAGGGACACCATTTTAAAGTCTTCACTATTATGAAGGAAAATTCATATAGATACTAAAGTGGATGTATTCCAAAATGTATATTGTACTATTACTCTTGTGAAAGCTATTGTCTAAAGACCTTTTCCCTCAGATAACTACGACTAAAAATATTGACTGTGAAAGAAAATGGTTGACTTAGAGTACATGTGGACTTTGTAGCATAATTTCCACTAATTTGTCAATCTGTGTTTATTTTTCAAATTGTATAGCTTTTTAATGAAATAAGTCAGAAACACTATAGAGAATAAGGATAAAGTTAGTGTCCTGTGTTGTCTACATGACCACATTAGCAAAAATCTGATGGTTTAAAAACTGATTTTCTAGATAACGGTTTGGCAAACTTTTTGTTTAAAAGGCTAGATAGTAAATATTTTCGGTTTTGTGGTCCAGATGATGTCTGTTGCAACTACTCAGTTTTGTTGTTGTAGCACGAAAGGAGAAATAGACAATATGTAAATGAATGACAGTGCTTATGCTCCAATAAAACTTTATTTACAAACACATGCCAAATTAGGCATGTAGGTAATGGCTTGATGAACCCAGTGTTTGCTGGCAATATAGAGAGATACATAAATTTATATACATAGATATACATGGTACATGAAATCAATTATGGTATATTTCTATAATATTTCAAGTATTTACTTTTATGCAGGAAAATGATATAACTATGAAAAGATAAGCTGAAGGTAGTATGTTTTATAATGATTATTGAAAATACTGTGATTTCTTTTTTGATAATTTTTATGGTTTACTGCATACATTGACTTATTTTTATTTGCATCTAAAAAGATAAAATATTAATTCAAAACAATTTTCTGTCAGTTGTCTTGCTGTTAATAGCTAGACAATTCTATTTAACTTTAGAAGCTTCAAAAGAACCATAGTGTATATATTGGAATAAAGATACCTTTTGAAAATCCTTGATATTAACCAGGTTGAATGAAAATATGTGATCCTTTGCTCCGACATACAGCCTACTTCGTTCCTCATCCAAAAGGAAGGTATGGTAATTCGAGCTGTTGGCCAAGCCATTGAAAGTGATCACATTGTTGGATTCCAACATTTCTGCAAGGTAACGAAGCAAGACATTGGGTATTAATGTGAAGTCCTACATGAGCACAGACTATTCAGACTATTCATACATGGTAATCTGACTACTGCATGCTATAGTTTTCAATCAGTGTTTATTCTTCATGGTACTAAGAAACATATAGGAACCAAAATTTTTATGTTTCACTGAAATGGGAATTATATTCCCATTTGCTCATTTCATACTCAAGATGGTATTTTTTTTTCAGAATATTATGGGGGAATATACATTTTGGTTACATAATTTGCTTTGTTACAGTTTGAGTCAAAGTTATAAGTGTGTCCTTCACTCAGTGTGCAGTGTACCCATTAGGTGTGAATTTGCCCATCTTTTCCTCCCCTCTCCCAACTAAGATGGCACATTCTTAAAAGAAGACATGGAAAAAAATAACTTGTCTACATGAACTGGTCTGGCAGGATCTATTTGCATGTAGTAATGGGTTAGACTGATCAATATTGTATATAAATGTCTTTAATCTTACAAAGATTTTTTAAAGTGGTTTCATTTATTCTCTGCCATTAGCTAGAAGGGTAAGCATAGTGGCCAACCGCCAGGAGTTTTGGGGAAACATCCAGTTTAATCTCCTAAGTTGTTTGAGACCTCTTTTTATTGAAAAGTTTGAATATATACTTTTGACCATTAAATCATTAACTTCACCATCTAAATCCTTTGAAGTATTTGGAGCTGATATATATAGATAAACTGAGCTGAGCCTTTTATAAAAACATCAATTAACTTGTTCACCATATGACCTCAATTTTTCAGCTTGTTTTTGTTCTACAATTTGCTTTTGCTGTGAGTAGGCAAATACTACACATTAGACTTATACCTTAAGTGACAGAAACATTTTCAGATTAAAAATAACATCAAATGTAAGCCCACTTTTATATTAGAAAGCTAATTGTTTATAAACAGCCTTCTTAAATATCCACTTCTCTACGGGATAGAAATGTTGAGGATTCTCCAAAACTATATGTCCTGAATCACTTCTTCAGATTTTCCAGTGCACATTTAGTAGGAGA